ACTACATGGGAGTCCAGCAACATAGCCATTATGCTAACTGCTGGTCCACTTTTGGTCTTAGTTTTGATTTGATGTAGGACCTTAATAGGAATATACTACTCCATCCTGTCCTGCTTATTATAAAGTGTCCTTTATAGTCATAGACTGGGACCAAGGTTAGGAAGAAGTCATCTTCTGAAATCAAACCAAATAAAATTTTTTTTTTTTTTGGAGAGGTTGTTGCTATAGGGCGCATGTGCTCGCCAGAGAGACAGAGACAGAGAGACAGAAAGCGAGAAATCATCCCCCAGGGGGGATGGCCATGCCGCAGTCCTTTCTTATTCTCCTCTCGGGATCTTGGGCACACACGCACACACACCTGGCGTGAGTTTAAGCCACCGGGTCCCGTACTTGAACCACGGTCGACTACATGGGAGTCCAGCGACATAGCCATTACCCTAACTGCTGGTCCTGAACCAAATAAAATTTTAATATATAAAAACTAAGAGAATTTATCTGTAGTAGTAATCCATCCATTCTAAGTAACTATATGATATGACCAGGGTTTAAACAAAAATTCAATGTATTATGTGAAACAGTAAGTAATTATACATATTATTATATCAAAAGTAGTAATCTCCCTTGAATATAAAGGCTATTCAAAGAGTAAGATTTGCCAGTGTTATACAGCAGTGTGTGTGAGAAATGCTGGGCCTGATTATTCCTATAAGAGGTCAAAGGACTTTCTGATGACTGATTTGGTTGCTTAGGTAAAAGATTCTATAGATCATAGATATGACTATTCTAACATTAAAAATATGAATACCCATGGTACATTTCTGAATTCATACTAATAGATACGAATATTTCTGACAGTGAAAATTGGTGTCCCTATGGTAAATTGCTGAATTGATGTCATCACTATAATTACCTTTTGAATATGATTAACTTAAATAAATGAGAGTTTGGTCATTTCTGGGTGAAATTATAAAACTGTATTTTTGAATTTATTATGAATGCCAAGGGCCAGTCTCTAGACTAGGTATTGTTACCCAGCATCTTTCATTATTAACTTTAGCTTTGACAGTATTTATGACATTATTTCCCATGACTAAGGAAAAACTTAAATTTGTTATGCCTATCACATAGGTAGTAATCAAATATTAAATGAATGAATTAGTGAATGAATTAAGGATTACATAGTTTTCAGGACTAGATTTTAGTAAAATGTAGAAATTGTATACAAGGTGATAATAAAGTTATACCTAAAATAAATAATAGCATTTTTCTAATCCCTAAAGCTATATAATTCATTATGGTAGCCACTACCACGTGTGACTCGACTCTTTAACCAGTGTGGCTGGTCTGAATTCGGATGTGCTAAACGTAAAATATACATTGGATTTAAAGACATAGGAGGGAACCAGCAGTTAGCGTAATGGCTATGTCGCTGGACTCCCACGTAGTCTGACCGCGGTTCGCGTCCCGGACCCGGTGGCTTAAACTCATGCCGGGTGCGTGTGCGTGCGTGCCCAGATCCCGAGAGGAGAATGGAGGAGAAGGGATTGCGGCGTGACCATCCCCCCTGGGGGGTGATTTCTCACTTTCTGTCTCT